TTGAATATAAGTTGAGAGTTGATCAGAATTGTTGTTGAATATAATTTGAGAGTTGATCAGAATTGTTGTTGAATATACGTTTAGAGTTGGTCGTATATAGTTTATTTTATTATTCACCCACACTTGGTCCTTCGACAAAACAAGAATAATTATTGAAATATGCACTGATTTTGAAAGAAGTACTTAGATTGATTAATTAGCAACCGAAATAAAATGACTTGAAAATAAAAAGATACAAGTTAATTAATTGTTTCCAAAATTCCAAATTTGTTATTAAAAAAATTAATTGAATTTATTATTATTATAATAATTGATTTATTATCAAGAAATAAACCTCTTAAATATAAATTACGTATTGTAATTGATGCTGTTATCAAGATGAATTTTGAGTTTACCTGAGGTGTGTTTTTTGTCTTGATAGGTGAAGTATTGCTAGCGCAAACGCATCCTTCGGAAGCGACGCAATCGCTCGGACAATACTCAGCGAAAGCAACCGAAATCACCAATGAAGAAATCAAGCACAGTATGAAGTTCATCTTGTCTTCAAATTCTTGAAACTATTACAATCAAAACTTACAAATTCATACGATTTATACGTTTGGTACAGCGTTATCAATCGATTGAGATAACATAAAAATCTGATAGATACGAATCTGACATTCCTGGAAGTATGAATTAATATTGCGACATCGCAAAAATGATTTTATCCTAATTATTACGAGATCATCAATGAACACTTTTCAAAACTTTGATTACATTTCTATTAATATCTACTATTAATCAAACATTCTTTGTTGTTCTAAAAAAAATTTAGTTTTTTGTTACTTGTGACAACTGCTTTCTTCTTTTAATAATTCATTAATTAAGTAAGGTTTTTGAGGATTAAAGGAAACAAAAAAAAATAGATAATCATGTTTTTTCTTATTGAATTAATCAATATACATTATAGATAATTGGTTTATTCCATCAATCCTTGTGGGTTTCCCAACCACGGATATTTCGGTGGACATTTGACGCAAGACTTCATGTATCTGGTACCAAACTCTTCGAAATCTAAAGGACAAATGTTATTTATCTCACATTCAGCACTCCTCGGTTCAGCAACGGTTTCAAAATTGGCTGCCTCGACAGGATTTTTAGCCCATTCGACTAATTCCGAATGTGAGACGAAATAGGTGTTTCCTTCATCCAGAACTTCATCAATGAAAGCTTGAAGAGCGGCCAAAGCGTCGGGATAGATGGTGAACCAAGCGCTGTTCACCAATAAACTGAACGGACTTTTATTCGCCGCAGCGCTCTTGAATTCACGCAACAACCATTGGCTCAATTCCGGTTGCGTCAAGCTAAAATTGAAATAAATTAGTAATTAATTTATTGATTTTTTTTTAAATTGAAGCTCACTTCATTTGGCATGCGAAAAGCGTGTTGCACTCGATGTCATTTACACCCTTGATGTTGTTGATCGGAACGACCCACATCTCGTCGTAGCTCTCTTCAGGGCACTCGCCGATCGAGCATTGAGCGTTGCTCTTGCACTTCAGATTGTATGGGAAGAGTTTGGTTTTGGAGAGCGCCGGCCAACTGCTGTCGATGTCCAGACCTGATCTTTTGTACGCCTCGAAGCTCTTGTCTCCGGCGAGCTGCAAATGCGGCGTCCTCACCACCCTGATGTGATCCTCAGGAATGTTGGCGAATTTAGAGATGATCTCTTTTTGACCCTTGAACTCGTCCACAAGATTCTCAACAGATGAGGATTGCCAATAAGCTGCTTCAGCTTTCTTCCTACAAAAACAACAATAATTGTCAACTCTTCTTCAGATTCAGTTTTCCGTTAGTTACGTGATCGAGTGAACTCCGATTTCGTGACCTTCGTTGTAGAGACGATTGACGACTTCGTAATCGGTGTATTCGTGAGGGATTAAGAACGTCGCTTTGATTGGATTTCCGTCTGGATTGCTGCGCCCGTTGAAGATATTCTTGTAGAATTCTTCATACACTAGATTAGTTGCAGAATCATCGAAAGACATAACTATGAACTGAAAATATCAACAGTTTTCAGTTAGATTTAACATCATTGTTCAAAAATGGAAATTATCAACTTTCATACTTTTTCAAGTAAATTACAATAACATTTTCTAAGTACTAAACAAACCTGAGGTGTTTTGTCGTTGTCCAACGGTGAACTGGTTGAGGCACGTACGCATTCCTCTGGTTCATCCTGAGCCGTGGCTGCAGAGACGAAGAGCAGAGATGCTACCAGCAACAATTTGATCATCTTGAAACGCAAATTTGTTGTGCATTGAATTGCATTTTGCGCGAACTGCACTTTATATACGGGACGCTTATCGTTATTGGGACGTGCATAAAAAGTTTGCGGCCGGATTAGAATCGATTTAGTCTCTAAATATGAAGTAGCTGTGCGGAGATTACGAGACGGTTTGTTTGCTTTTCGATTTGCGCAGAGGATTAGAAGTTCGATACAAAAAATGTATGTGTATATATGCAGGAAAACATTGTTTACATCGAAGCGAAGGATTACGCATGAATAGATACGCCCGTAATCCCTCAATCCAAAAAAAAAAAAGTTTTAAACATTATTTATCTTATTAGCAATTAATCAGGTGAGACTCGTATATTTTTTGTATTGATTAGACATTGAAAATCTTTCCATCATTAATATTTACTTATCATAAACTGATCCTTAGAATTAGTTTCATATTAATCATATTGAACTAAATTAAAGAAAAATCTCTTTTGTATTTGAATAATTTTCCATTATTTTCTGCAGTTCAATAGTTTTTTTTTTAATTTATTTAATTAAATTAATTTCTGGATCAAATTTTCAAAAAAAAACAATATACTAATAAAAATAATTTTCTAAAATTTAGTGATTTGACAAACATTCATCAATTCTCTACATCTCAGTAAGCTAACACATACATTTTTTCATTTGTTTTCATATAATTATATTCAATTGTTTCATTCAAAACTCTAGGATTTTGGCTTAATATATGTAGTTTAATTTTGATTTAATCCGTATTCACATTTGTTGTAAATATAGAAGATGATATTTACTAAATGAATATTGATAAATGTTGTAAAAACTTGTTTATTCCGATTTAATCTCCAAATCTACGATAGTTTAGATTTTGTTTCTGACCTTCGTAACTAATAGTAACGATATGTAACTTACATAAATTCCATAGCAACACGATCAGTACTCAAATACAAACCAAATATTATGATCATCGCAGTGGCCTTGCATTCAATGTTATGAAGTATTATGTGTTAATGGTATGGCGGATATATCCGCCGGTCATCCGAAAAAGGTTAATTTTCATTGAAAAAATCTTATTTCTTAATAATATTCAAATATTTCTAAAATATACAATATCATTAGATTTTGTTTCTGACCTTCATAAATTATAGTAAAGATATGTAACTTACATAAATTCCATAGCAACACGATTTGTACTCAAATACAAACTAAATATTATGATCATCGCAGTAGCCTTGCATACAATTTTTTGTAGTATTCTGTGTAAATGGTATGGCGGATATATCCGCCGGTCATCCGAAAAAGATTAATTTTCATTGAAAAAATCTTATTTCTTAATAATAATCAAATATTTCTAAAATACACAATATTATAGACTATTTTGTTAGCATTATTATTTATAAAAATTTGAATATTCTCTTGTTTTTGTATATAATTAATTTGATTTAGTCTCCAAATCTCTAATCAATGAACGAAAACTCTTCAGATTAACTTTCTAACATTTGTTACTATAGTAACGATTTGCATCTTATACAAAAATTATGCAAAAAATATCGAATTTCAGAAATTTTTAAAACCTATAACAAACGAGCGATGAAACAACAAATCAAGCGGTATAGGAAATTCCGTAATTTTGTTTTTAATTTGCATATTTAATTATCTAATCAGCAGATTTATGTGTATGAAGTAAAAATAAATTGAAAAAGAAAAAAAGTTAAAAATTAAAAAAAAAACTCGTATTTTGACAGCTTGTAATGAATAAACGGTCAAGACTATAAATGTGAGTAATGGTTCATAGGAAAGACCATAGTTTTATGTTTATTTTGCATGTAAAATAATCCAATTAGATGTAGTGGTTGTTGATTAATCAATTAAAAGGTGAAAATACTTTTTTTTTCGGCATTGTCAAATTCGACAACTCGTAATACATGAACGAGGAATAGCACAAATATGGTAATGTGATCATTGGAAAGGTTATAGATTTATCTTCAATTTACATATTTAATTATCTAAATAGAGTTTGTAATTGTTAGATAATCAATTAAAATGTAAATTTTTTTCTTCGATCATTTAATTATATGCTCAACTTTGACAGACCATATTAGCGATTTTCATCTTATACAAAAATTCCATAACATAAATCAAATAGGCTGATGTTTTAGATGGTATAGATTTCATGGAACTACGTTTATCGATGCAGGTGTGTGTGTTTTTT